GGAGAGGCAGGAGTAAGGCCTAAGCAGAGGTAACTGTGACCCAACCACTCACCCCCCCACCCACAAATTTACTGGTTTCATATTGTCTACAATTGAGCCATTCATTTATTTAGGATGTAAAGGAATTACATTCATAATCCAACTCACCTTTGCAAAATGTATGGACTTTCTCTCTCTCTTGCTTTCAGTTGTCAATATTTTGAGTTTTGTGATGAGGAAATGGAGTTGCCTTATGTCTTTTAGTGACAGAACTGTCAAGAGAAGTTTGTCCTTTTCCCCCTTGCTCCCTAAATGTTGATCATCATCCATTGTAGAGGGAATAAAGTTAATTTTAAATTAAAGATGAGCCTTGCAACCATTTTCGGTTTATCGATGTCAAAAGTATTTCTCTGCCAAGCTTTAAAATACATCTTCAAAAACTACTGAAAATATTCAAGAACTTTAGTGACTAACTACAAATGGACTTTGGTATTGATAAATACAAGTCAATATTTATAGTGAAATGACTTACTGTGATAAATGGGCCCACCATCAGTAAAGATCAAATTATTGATGAGGGAAAGGAAAAACTTGGCTGGCGAACATCTACAGGTGGGAAGTACTAGCCACTACCATAGTTCGGGAAAAGCTCAAAGAGTTGTTAGAAAGGTTAATTAAAAATACATACAAAAGTAGGAAGCAATATTCTGTCATAGGAATCATTTGTGACACTAGGCTAATGTATTTCTTTGGCCATGCTCAGCTCATACCTTTTTATTTGCCTTGAATAAATTCAGACTAAGAGTATATATTCCCTCTCAGAAATAGATAATTCATTATAGCCAGAGCAATAGAACAACTCATAGGGCATTTGTCTTGCAAGTGTATAACCCAGGTTTGATCCTTGACACCTCATGTAATCCCTTCAAGCCTCACCACAAGTGATTTCTGAGTGCAGAACCAGGAATAGCAATCTCTGAGTACTGCCAGATGCTAGGTGTGCACCCCCAAGATAGAAGAGAGAGAATATATGTTTGTATGTGTGTGTATACATATATATATATATATATATATATATATATATGTCTTCTGCCTCCGAGCCTGGCTGTCCTCACTGGGACCCCTTGCAGGAGGGAGGGTTGAGTTTCTCCCCCCTCCCCCCACCCTGAACAGAGCCCTAGCAGCTGAGGACCTCTGGAGCCAGCCATGGCCAAGCTGGGACCACTCTCCACACGTCCGGACGGGCCTCATGCATGAAAGAACTGGCAGAGGAACCCAGGCATGCGGGTCCCAGGGCTGAGGTCTCCAAGCCTACTCGGATTGGGGCTGGGCCTTCTCTACCCAAAATCCCCCCCCCCCCCCCCCAATCTTCCAGTAGGTTGGCGTCACACCCACCAGCTGCCACCAGAGCCAGGTTGGTCAAGACGCAGAGACTATAAAACCCAGCTCCCGGAAGCGTGCGGCTGCATTTGTGCCACGCAACATCTTATTTTTTCCTTTGGAGAACCTGGCAGGCTACCAAAAATATCCTGCCCGCACGGCAGAGACTGGCAAACTTCCCGTGTCGTACTCAATATGCCAAATACCAGTAACAATGATGGGTCTCATTCTCCTAATCCTGAAAGAGCATTGAAATGGCTCTTTTAGAATCTCAGGGCTAGGAAGAAGGAGATGTTATTGGTGCCTGCTCGAGGAGATCGACGAACAACAGGATGATTGTGATCGTGATATATGTAAAATTCAAGTTTCACTTTTGGTCTACCAATTTGGGAGAGTTGCTTATGTATTTTTAAAAACTTGTCACTCCTGGAAAATTGACTCTCAGTGACCTACTCATTACTTTTATACTATGTCAACTAAATAAAGTTGTATGAGAGTGCACCAAATTTTCTTTTATTATTTTACCCTTTACCTTCTCTAGCCTACAGCTCTACTCATAAAATAACAATAGATATTTGTTGATTTTATCTTTTTAAAAACTTAATTTATTAGAGAAATCTTTTGTCTCATATCCTGTCAGAATTTAATGATGAAGCATCACTTGAAACACCCAAAAGAACATTCTCAGTGGTTAGCTTATCAAAAAAGAAAAGTGGAATGGCAGTAATTAACCTCTCCAGTGTCTGGTGTTCCAGTCCACAGAATATAGGTATTACTTCAAAAGAAATTTAATTGTATACTCTATAAACTACCCAGGAAACATGAACAGTTTGTATCATCACACATTTGGAAGTGAAAGTATAATTAAGCAAGTATCTGTAAACAACTTTTTATTCTATCTTTATACAAACCACACCCACCAAAAACATTAAGAGAGACAAAAACAACTGCTTTAGTGAAGATCTTAGCGCTAAATCTAAGTCTAATCTCATTTTCTTGATAGATTTGAGATGTCAGTTGAGCCTGAGAACACATCATCAGCATCAGTATGTGCAAGGTATCTCACTTTGATGCCTTAATGCCACGAAGCCCTTATGTCTAGAATAGAATTTTGCTGGAGCAATGAATAAACAGTAATTTTGTTGAAACAACGAATAAACAAATGAGCATGTGAAAGTTAATCATGTATGAAAAAATGTATGAGAATAGTGGATGGGATGAAAAATGCAGTGTATTTGTATATATAAATATAGATTACTACCTATTAGATATTACTAATAAATTTAACTTATCACTATACAATTAATTTCTAATTGTAAATAGTTATATAAATGTATCAAAAATGAATTTGTTAGACCATATAAGAAAAAAATATTAAAAAATGAAAAATTTTGACCAAAAATATTATAAAATAGTATTCAATTTTGACGTACTTAATTGTCCCACCTAAACATTCCACAAAATGTTTATGAACTAAACTACAGATTAATAAACTATGGATTAATAACTTCTATAAGTATTCTCTAAAGAGAGAAAAATTAAATTAAAGCAAGCTCCATTAATAATTATATAGGTCATAGATATTTCCCCTTCCAACCCGTAACACCATCCGGAAATAGTCCATTCTTTATCCAAAACACTCAACTGATACAGCCAAAGGTAATTAAAAGTCCATTCCCACCTGGATCAGAAGCTTGCACACAGAAGGTAAGTTCGTTGGTGAGAATTTTATTGTAGATGCTCATCTCCTTGTGAAACATCTGCTTCATCCATTTTCTTTGCTTTTTCCAAAAAAATGCAGAAACTTTTTATGACCAAAGTACTGTTTGACACCCACAAAACACTGATAAAGGATGCATGCATGGTCCCTACTACCTTTTTTCTTCCCCAGAAAATTCAAACACAAAATGAAAAGTGGTGTCTATTTCAAATCAAAGCAAGCTATATTTTCATCTCCTTATACCTGGTCCCCAAGAAAAGGTTTTCGAGAAGCAGCGAAATCAAATTCTATGTTCACATTTCCACAGGAAAGAGAAGTAGAGTTTGTGTCCTTAGAAGGTTACTGGGAAAACTTAAGGGAATATTTAGAACAGATTTAGGCAATGATCCTCTTTCAAGGTATGTATAGACAAGGTCGGAGTGATAGTACAGCGGGTAGAGCATTTGTCTTGTATACGGCTGAGCCGGTTTCAATTCCTGGCTATGTGTGTGTATATGGTATGTATGGGATCCCAAGCACCACCAGGAGTAATTTATGAATGCAGAACCAAGAGTAACCCCTGAACATCGCTGGGTGTGACCCCAAAATGCCAAAAAACTGTGTATATACAGGGCTTTGGATATGCATACTATGCACACTTTGTGCAAATAAGATGTGATATGGAGGGGTGGATATCTGTGAATGCTCAGGAAGGTTCCTCTGTATCATCGTTCCACTTGGAAAGTAGCACAGGCTCTGGCCTCTGTATTTGTTCCATCATCTTCTAACGAAGGTTTTATGAGTGCAGTCAGATCTACTGTCCCATGACGACAAGCATATTTATTCCACAAATGTGGATTTACTGCTTTCATCACTGATAAGTTGAATCTTTTTTTGTGAGGTCTAGACCTGAGGAGAACTTGGGTGTGTTGGAGGCAGCCCATCTCTCAGAGAGAAAAATCCTGGATCATAAATATTATATATATATTTTTATATACTTTTTATATTATATGACATGGGTTTTGTCTTTGAGAATTTGCTTCATCTTGTTATTCTTGAGCTTGTGTTGAAGACAGTGGCCATGGTTCCTGATGAATGTTTCTGTGTAGTAATGTAATCTGAATTTGTTACGTAGTCAGACAATTGAGACCAAGTATTTTAACTTGTGAGAGAATGCAAAGACTTAATTTATGTTTTTCTAACAGAACGCTAGAACAAATGGTGTAAGGTGCTTTTGGGAAATATTAGATCGCCATGCTAGCTTCTGTACCTGTTGACAGTTCCTACTCAGAAAACTGAATCTATGACAAGTTATCTTCAGATTTACCATCCCAAACCCCAGGTGTCATTGCCTGTGGTGTGGGGGTGTATTTGTTGGTGTTTATACACTTCCTTTTATGGTCTCTATCAAGGAGATGGTTTTGGTATTTGATACTTAGATTTAACTGAATGAAAGAGGATCAAAATGCACGCAAAGAATTTATCAGCTGTGATTTGTGAGACAAGGGAGAAACCACTGCACCAGCTTCCAAGTTGTCTTCCTAATTGACTAGGCTGATGACTAGACAGAAGTCTGTGTCCTGTTGCCATTAATTGACTATATTGTTTTAGATTTATGCATTAAAAATACGATTTCTACTTCGAAGCGATCACTTTGTTACTTTGTAGCTTTTAAGCTGATGCCTGAACTTATTTTTCTTCTAAGATAAAGTCTCATCTATAGATTTTTCAACTAATTACATGTCTGCCAATACATACTTAGAGGATACATTTTATTGCAATTTATTATTTGTGTTTGCATAGTATGTCCCTCTAACTATCTGTGGACCTGAAAGGAAATGTTTTAATGCTGCTTATTACTACTTTTTCATCCCTTGTGTTCTCTCTCTCTCTCTCTCTCTCTCTCTCTCTCTCTCTCTCTCTCTCTCTCTCTCTCTCATAGCTCCAGTCAGTCCAGTGAAGCATGACAACAACTCAACCTCGGCAAACTTCCAAGAGACCGAGGACATGCCTGACAGATGTGTCTTGGAGGAGTCCAGGAGTCCAGGTGAAAGCCATTTGAAAATAGTCAAATATTAAATGATAAGTTTGACACACTTTGGGGTCCTTGGAAGGGGGTGGACAGAGATGATATTGTGATGGGGGTGGACGGAGATGATATTGTAACACAGCTTTCTCTTAGCAGCTGCTCTGTCAAATTAATGATCACCTCCAGGGGTCACCATGTGGAGCTGTTATCTTTTCCTCTTTCATCAAGAATTCAGTTAGAGGAAGTACAAAGGCTTTATGACTGAGAAGAAAAGCTGGCATTATTATATTAGTTCATTATCATTAACTTTAGGCTAAACTGGTTAACAGGGGCAGAGATTGGAAACTGGAGAAATGGCAACCTTTGAAATATTTTGTGTAATCTTATGAAATGAAAGTGGAGAATTGGAGAGGAAATATATTGTCGTCCTCATGTTCTACTTACTTTTCTAAGCCTAACAGTAATGATTGATTGGCCTTTTTCAATGATTTAGACCAAAATAAAACAAATGGAACTACTTGTTCTACTTTGTTCAGTTAACATTGCCAAGTTGTGTTTCTTGGTATTTTCTCTCTAGAAAGAGTAGATTAAAATGTATCGAAAGTAAATAGCCAGAAATTACTCAGTATAGATTTCTGATTCTCTTTTAGTTTTTTTTGGGGGGGGGGGAGGGGAGCATGCTAGTCTTTGCAGCTAGCTAATTAAAAAGGAAAAATATCTTGTCAAAGTTGAATGGACATGTATAGCAATCATAAGATGCTAGAAGTGACCTTCTTCCCATCAATGAGTTAACTATTTCATCACACTGCATGTGTTTCTTCCCCATATTCAGGCCACTGTGTACCGTCCATCCTCTTGCATTTTTGCGTGCTGCTCTATGTATCTGATTTTTGATTCATCCTTTCTGTGGCCTGTCAGCTTAGTTAAGAGATTTCCAAATCTTGTAGTCTTCGCTGACAGGGGGCAGCTGCAAACAGTCCCCTGATCCTTCCCTGAGGAGAGCGACTGAGATTTAATTTTCAGTGAAAGGTGCAGTCTGCAATCTATGTCAAGTCCCCTAAGTCATCTCCGAACCCCACTAGAGCCAGTGGCGATGGCGTTGTATTTCAGTCCCCTTCACTACACCAAGATGCTTTGAGAGATGAAGTGGGGGCTGCGTGTTCTTTCCCAGTCACAATTTTGCTTTAGCATCCCAGGGAATGGAGAAATGGCATCTTCCGTCATGACAGAAATCTCTTCCAACGCATTAGCTCCATTGCCTGTCATAATATCTAAAAGACAAATGTGGGTTTGACCCACTCAAAAAGGGAGAGAGTAGTGGTGTCATCAAGTTTCTCTTAAAATTTATTTTTAAATTACCTTTATCTTTGACCAAAATTTCCTACTTCTAATAAAGATTTTTTAAACCGTTTATTGAATAATAAATGCTTTCTAATATTCACTTATCTAACTGTCAGGCAGATAAATCCGGGAGGCAGGTTTTTACCTAAGTGTTTCTTATATTTGGCAAGAACATATCAACTTTATACCATTCCAGAAGTAGAAAAAATTTCATTCTGCCTCAATGTGAGTGAAATTGTAGTGAGTTCAAATACAATACTGACGACTATAAACAAATGGATGTATCCCAAAATTAAGATTAGTTAGAAAGTACAATTACTGATTAGGAATCCTAAGTTAAAAAGTGAGTACTGTTCTATACGTTGAACATCATTAAACTGGTAATAAAGAATGAATTACTCTGGTTTTTTCCTCTGTCCATTCCTGCATTTTAAGACATCGAGCCTTATAGGCCTAGAAACCTCTAGAGAGTTCTCTCCTGGTCTCGCTGCCTTCCACTGAGAATTTGTGGCTTGGTTGTCATGGAGACATCGTATTTCTCCAAGAATTGCTCATATTGATCCGTGGCCAGGCGTAAATGGCCAAGCGAGTGTGAGGAATAAAGGGGGCTGGGCAGGCCTATAAAATGACCAGGGCTTGTGGGTTGGAAATAAGCTCATAGCAAACACTTAGGTAAAAAGAAAGAAGCAGTATTATTTTGTTTCAGGATTTCTTTTTGCACTTTGGGCCATTGTCTTCTTTCACGATGAACTGAAAGAAACTTGTTACTCACTTGTCATATCAGATCTTTGGTGCTTGTTCTGACACAGCTGTCAGCCTTCCAGCTCTGTGCAGTTCAGGGACACACAACAAAGAGGCAGTGACATGAATTATTTATCGCTCCTTGTGTGGATAAAATTCTGTGATAAGAAATTAAGACACTTCTGACAGGGGTGCTTGTTTAGTTAGAAATATTTTGATGAAAGCACATGTTTCCTTGAAGTATAAGCATTTGAGAGGCAAAAATTCTTAAAACTGGAAACAAAGAAGATATATGCAATGGATGGTACTAAGGGCCTTTCTTGAACTGTGTGAAATGTCCACTTTTCAATGTGGCCAAATTAACTTTGAAGCATTGAACCATTCCAATGTAGGAACTCCAAGACCCTAGATATTATTTTGGTGACTTATAATTACCTTAGTTATCCCTATTTGTCACGTATGAGTAATGTTATCAGCCTTTGTTAGAAGTGAAAAAAATAAACTTTGGGTTTCATAAAAGATAAGCTTGGGAAGATGTCTCAACTTATAGCGATGTTTCAATAATTAAACTTAGATTTGCAATATTCTATACCACCCCTTACTCCTTTCTTGGAAAGAGTGTTTAAATCTGTGTTTAAATACATCATTCTTACATTTCATCTAGAATATTGTAACTAATCTTAAACTCCTTGTAATATTTTTTATACATATATGCAGAATCCCCTCCCTTTGTAAAGTTGATTTTACTCAGTCTTTTAGCTATAATGGATATTGACCTTACATAGTTTTATCTATGCTCTTAAAATGCGTAATATGTTTATTATCATTTTGAATAAATAGTCCTGTTTGTTTGAATAGCATATAGAAAATGTGACAAAATATCATTTTCCCGTTCAATCAATGTTCAAGAATATTGCTTCGTAAGCCATACTCTACATATAAAATTATTTTCTTTGAATGTCTCCTAAACATCATTTTCTTCATATCTCAGGTTTTCTATTGTTAATACCAGTCATTTACATATGCAGAGAACTCAAAAGCATAGAATAGCTAAAACATTTTCTTTAAAAGGTAAAGTTGAAAGTGCATCAAGTTTTTTAAAGATCAGCTTTTTAGATTTATATGAAAATATAAATTTATATGAATATAAAATATAGATTTATATGAAAAAAATGAAAATATAAGATTGACTGTTAATTGATCATCTTTGAATGGAGAGGATTGGGATTCAGCATGGAGATGATTATTTTACATTGACATCCTGCATCTCCTGTACTGAAGCACTGAGTTGAAGAGGACAGTTCATTTAACTTGGGCTGAGGTATGTTTCTAAGTCACCATACAAACAGATGCCTGCTGGGGCAGTTCTGGCCTCTAGAGCACACAACTTTATTCATCATGCCATTGTGAGCTCTCTGTTGTTTTGGTCTGTATATCTAGGTGTCTTTAGTCCATTAAGGCTGGCAAAGGAACTTCAGATCCAAGCATTCTTATTCCTTTGACCCTGGAGGTCTTGTTTTATTGGTGAAGGTCTCTCAAGCTGTGCTTTTCTTTGGTATAATTTATTAGCAAGGAGTTTGAAGCACAGGTGAATCCCAGATTGAAGCCACTGGCTTAGATCTGAAATCTGCAGCTGCTCCATAGGTATTTAAACATTCCAGAAAACTCTGAGAATGACTGATGTCTGGTAATAGAAGTATGGAGACACCACTGTGAATGACAGAATTAAAAAAGTATATTTTAGGACTCATTATGTTTTTTCTCCCCCTTGATCTTTTCTCTCTTTCCCTTTCTCTCTCTGGTGTTTGGACCACATCTGTTAGTGCTCAGGGCTTACTCCTGTCTCTGCACTCAGGGATCATTTCTGGAGGGCTCAGAGCTCCATATGGGGTGCTAGATATTAAACCGGGGTCTGTTGCATGCAAGGCAAATACCCTACTCACTGTACTATCACTTGGTCCGAAGGTCTCTTCTGAACCTGAATGAAGGTATCACAAAAATAGTTCAGATTCATCTTTTGCTATTTGACTTTTGTTCACTGTTCTTAATGAAAATTAGAGTACAGGATATAATAAAATATAGTTCTTCCCCTCATCTTTATACTCATGATATTAAAAATTTTTAATGTGACTTTCATGAATCTTATCTAACTACTAATAAGAGATCATAATATGTTAATTACCATATTGGCCCAGAAAATTAAGAAATTTACTTTTTAATACACAAGGAACAGCCGTACCATTAAATATAGCTTCAGCTGAAAATAGTGACAGGAGCAAGTTTGGAAATAATTTTTAAAAGGGCATTCAGTTAAGCATTTTCATGTCATTTGAAGTAGTTTATAATCAGATGCATTCTTCCATTAATAGAACATTTGAGTGGTTTTTATACAGCATGTTATGTGTATGGATCTATGTACATCACTGTCAATATTGCATTTGTGTAAATCTGATGAACAAAACTAGATTTCTCACAGTTTCCAGGAGATACTGCATTGTGGAAAGGCAAAGTAGATTTTTTTTCCCCCTTTTCTTTTACTATGCTGGCTCATGAATCACCAGCAAATACCAGGTAGCAGAAAGTAGGACAGATTCAGGGCTGGAGTGTTGGAGATGGCTGATGATGATGCATGAAGCAGAAAAAATGTGGAATGTGTGAGTATCTCATCAGTCATAGCCATGAAGAGTGCTCCTAATGGTTAATGCGAAAAATTCCTAAAAGAATAATTTCAGTAGTAAAATGTTTATTTTTTTCTGCTAGTTATATTTAACAATGTCAGTGTTTTTGAAGTCTCCTTTACCAAGAGAGACTTTTTTGGGCATATACTTTTCAAGCCTATAAGTTGTATGTGTAATATTTGATATTATAACTAAACCAAGTAATCAGCTTCTTGAGTTTTGCCAGTAGGAATGGTGAGTTACTATATATGTGGCCACATCATTTGTTAAAAAGCATAAGAAGCAGTTAACCAAGCTCAGCTCCAACAAGTTTGATAGTTTAACTAAGTGATACTTTAGCCTACATTGAAAAACATGCCTTCAGCTGGAACATTCATGATTTTAATTCTATAACTCAAACCATGTTTCAGTAAAGTATATTACATTTTAAAACTAATTTCTGATTTCACTAGGAGAGTGAAGCTGCTTGAAATTTATGGTTGTTTACTAATTTCAAATTCGTGTGTAGAAAATTTTCATCTGTACTGGAAGTTTAAAGGCAGTCTTGTTAAAAATGTATAATAAAATATATGGGACTTCACTTACTAGATGAGAATATTTAGCTTTGTTTCATGGATAAGTGAGAAATATAGAAATTATAAGTAGTTTGCTCCTTGACTCTCTTCCTGACTTTTTCATTTCCTTCCTGCTTTCTTTCTATATTTCACACTTAACCCAAAATATTCTGTTTTGTTTTAGGTGAGTCAAGGCATCATTCATGGATAGCAAAGGTGTGCTTCTGTAAGGTGTGCTGAATGGAATATCATCTATAGAAATTGGATTTGGACAAATTAAGAAACCACCAGTATGTCAGATGCTTATTACTGTTTATAGGCTCTGTTGTTATTGACCATGACTTGTGACTGTAATAAATTCATTAGTGCTTTAGCTATAGTGTAATTAAAATATAAGTACTTATGTAAATATGCAAATGAATCTAATTTTAGAAAATCAGTGTCTAAATCTTTTTATACTTGTAGTTTTTCTAATAGTTCCAAAAAGGAATATAGGCCTAAGACACAAATTTAACACACTTTTAATTCCCTTCTCCCCTCTTTATAGTTGCCAAATTACATAATGTGTAACATTAAAACTGCATTGCTTTTAAAGAATGTAACACAAGTGCTTTTAATATTGGTTCAATGTATTTAAGCTGAAGGTTTATCAAATGTGTTTGGTCTGTGAACATTAGAGTATTCTTTTGGTAGAAATTTAACTCTTAGCTGTCACCCTACAATAAACTCATCTCTAAACATAAGCATGAAATGTTGTCAACCAACACCCCATTCCACACAGTTCAAATAAATGATATCCAATATAACAGGAACCAATCTTATGTGGCTAAGTTAATTTAGGCTTTAATGACACAGAAGCTAATGTCTTTAGCTAAATGTTTATCTTGTTGGCCAAAGATATAAACTTGAAATATAAAAACAACTTATAGTACATAACAATCCTTATCTGGTCTTATAGCTATTTTCCCAGAAAATAACTTGACTAGCAGGAATTCTTAAACTAAAACATGCAGAGTAACATAAATAGAAATAGATATGAAATGATAATCTATGAATGACTTTAGTGATGTAATTTATTTGCTATGATTGATATTTAGGCTCCTGTATTTATAGAAAAAATGATCAAAAAGATTATTTGTATGCATATGAATACCAATACTAATTCATAAAAATGAAAACAAAGTGTTAATAATATGACCTTTCTATCTAATAGAGACGTTGCATCACTTTAATTTAAATATTTTGTAGAAAACCAGCATCAGAAAGCAAACAACTAATGGGAGGGAAGATTAGACAAAATAACTACATAATAAGTAGTTTATCAGTACTCAAAATGCTAGAATTAGTGGTTTGATTTAAATGATTAAACCAGAACATAGATATCAAATATTGTGACTTCTACACAGAAGACAGGAATACATATTCGTTTTCTTCTCCTAATATATGACGTTATTGCTTGAAATTAGTTTTGTGTTGTACCTTGATATAGTAACATATTGTCATTTTAAATAACTATGGGAAATTGCTATTTTTTAAAAATCAATATACAAACTTCCCAACCTTTGAAGTGGCCAAAATTTACTTGGAAAATATTTCAAAATAAAGAAAGGAGGGAAACTAAGCACTTGTATTCTGAGCGATTTTAATGATGGCAATATGAAATAAGTGTATGTTCTCTCATACAGAGTTTTAAATAAAAAAATACATCTGTTGCTCAAATTCTGGTGTTTGGTAATAATGACTTTCTTTGTGTTTAGATTTATGTCTTATTTTCCATTTTCGAAGAAGAATAAAAATAAGTTTAAGTAATTCCCCTAACTAGCATTTTTTTTATCAAATCTGAGAAAACCAATACTGAATCCTTGATAAATATTGTATGATGTGACAAGTGTAGGAAAATTAAATATAATTGGCATTACCTTGATATTACTAACTGAGGTCTACAAGACATTATTGGTATTATATCTTACGGCTGCTAGATTTGAAAATCTTTATTAAATGACTAATTAGAATCTTTTGAATAGGTAAGAATCCTGGAGGTCAGCACCATTAACTATTAAAGCCTTTTAATTCCTAAGAGGGAGAGCATTCGTCACATTCATGTAAATAATGCTGCCTAATATACACGTGCAAGTATATTTATGGCAAAACCCACTCATGTTTTAAAATGATTTCTTTAATTCATACTGACTTATATGACCATTTCAGTAGTTCTTGGAGTGAGGAGAACTTGAGAGAGTAAGTTGCCACACAATTAACTGAATCAACCATGTGGTGACCTTGGTACCATTGCTATAAACTCGGGTTCACTGCTTTCTGATTAGGTGTTTGTCCTTTTGCACATCCAGTCTTAGGTAGCAAGTGGAGTGACTGTAAGAAGGAACAACCGTGTTTGTATCCAATGTCTTCCTTGTCATTTCAATAAATAATTTATGTAAAAAGTTTTGCATTTCATTGTCGGTGATATTTCTATCTTGGTGACATTTGTGGCAATATATTCCCACTCTAAGGATTTGCCAGCTGAGATTCCTTCACTCATTGTGAAGTTCCACAGGAGCTCTATTGCCCTGGAATGGATTTAGGATTGACAGGACAGAAGTGTCACTTCCATGTGTCAGATCTGAGCAGCACCTCCTTGCTGTGCTTCTCAGAGTCTGCGGCACCCTGAACCTGTCAGAATGCTCCTCCACAGCGCTCACCTAAATGTGCTCTACACAATGTATGGAAGGAATCTGTACAACACAGGCTCCTCAAATAAAAGGCAAAATATGTATCACAAACACACAGGTGGCCTTGGACCTGAAACATTTTGTTGCTAATTTAGAAATGAAATTTTGGCTGCTTAGAATGTGAGACTATTAGAAAAATGATCAGAAATGATTTTGTTAATTATCAACACTGACAGAGATTGCACTTGGGATGATTTTTGTTTACTTCTTTACATATTTTCTTACAATATTTGATATTTAATTTTTAAATAATTATTCAGACGAACAATTTAGAAACTATAGAGTTTCTCTTTAATCTTTAGAAGGTGCATTATAATAATTGATTTTTTAAATCAAGTTTTTTATTCTATGTGTTTAAGATGAAGGCTCAGAATACATTAATTTCAATTGATTTTAAAATCTTATTTTCACAAAATGGATTCATTGATCTAACTTAAAAAATGTTTATATTGCATGAATTTTAATTACTTGGTTACTTTAAGGCAGTGCTACATACTCTGGTTCTTCATAAATATTGTGTCACCTATAAACTGCTAAAAGTTGTGTCTAGTTTCATAATAAATATATTGGTTTTCTAAGGTGTATATAACTAGCATTATGAATTACTTTCAGAATTAATCTTGACCAAAGCAAGTGAAAATTGAAAAGTACTCAAGGAAGATATCTTCAGGTGAATTTATATTTATGTGACTTCCTGTATATTGGTCTCAGACATCTTCGTACTGTTATCTATCAGCAAGCACTCCACAAATGGCATGTAGAAGGAAAATGTCAACAGGAAATGAGCAGGTCTCCCAGCAAAAGAACCTGTGACTTCCTGTGTTATTGGATTTCACTGGCATGACATGGTGAGGTCTGTCCTCCACAATTCCATCTCCTCAGTCCTGCCTGTCACCTCATCCTGAACTTCTTAGATATCATCTATCAATAAAATTTTGATATTACAGATTCTTTGCATCCTTTTGATTTTGATAAACACATAGTAAAATAATATATTTTGATTATTGAGGGAGTTTTGTTGCCTTCTAATCTTAGGCCCTGCTCATCAGAATAGTAACAACTTCATCTTTATCTCAGGAAAGTATAGTGAAGTAAACATATTGTGATATTTGCATAAGAAACAATTATTTTAGTATCTATGAAAATTAAAGCCTATTGAAAATGTTTGAAATAACTTTCTTTTAGTGATGTATGTGGTAGGTGGAATGTTGAGTATATAGGATTCTTCCTATGGGTATTTCTCCAAACACATTCTCTCTTCTTTTCTTCTCTCTTTTGTTCTTTCTTTCATTTGTACCTTCCACTTTTCCGATATTAGTTTTAGGGATCCTTTCTATCTAGAACATGTCACTAATTGAAAAGGCACCAAAGAAATTTTCCTTATTCAAGATACAGATTTTTTTAACACCAAAGAAAATTAGCTTACATTCAGTACAACACTGTCCCAAAATCTGCAAGTGTCAAATGCCAGCAAAATGTCAAATTTCATAACTGTATGAAATAGTAATAATAGGTTGGTGCATACTATAAAACTTATTTATTTACTTTGCAATAATTTTCATTGAATTATCTGTGAATTCATCAATCAGCTTTTCGATCTTGTGGTATATTTTCTAGGGAGACAGCGTTTTCACACAGCTCTGTCACTGAGCATTGTTGCCGTGATGATGCTAGCTAAAAAGACATTTTGGTGCATCCTTGATTTTTCCTTTAGACTTTTTGAGACTTCCTGTAAATTCTGCCATGGCAATAGAGTTCCCATTTGAAACACTATCTTCTGTACCAGTAGCTCTTTCATCAGCGTTATCTACATTTGCATCAATGTAAACTGTGTAGCTACACTCAACTGTGCACCATGTTTTGTTTATTTTATTTTCCTGTGTCTCAGTGTCTGCCTCCTACCCCCCCAGCCCCAAGTGCCCCCCCCCAAAAAAAATCTTTAGCAAGAAACATGAATCTTTTGTTTCTCCCTGGGGTAGTTGGAGTAACTCTGCACCTGAGATTGTTTTCAGGCTGAAGAATATTTCCTGGGTTCAGTCTTTATTTCAACTTATTAGAATATTTCATGCTACTAGAATACTAGAATATCCTGTCAATCTAAGCAAAACCAGGTGGTCTGTATTCTGCGAGAATTTGGGACGCCTTTTTATCTGTGGAAAAGAACAAATCCTGCAATTCCTCTTTGTCATTGGTGTAGCCCAGGGAAGAAGGCAGTTTGGAGCTGTTACAGCGTGCTTTCATAGACAGAAGCCTGCTGTCACTGGGTCCTGGGAGGTGCAGGAGCCCTGCAGTGGGCTGGTCTGCAGAGCTCCTGCCATGTAGGTGGCAGTAGCACTCAAGGAGAGAAACTCTCTTGCATTCCCTAGCTCAAGTGCAAAGTGCACCCGGACTGAAAATCCTTGTGGAAGAGAAAAGGCTTAAAATGTAGAGACAAATTTCTCCATGTCCTCACACATCTCTAAAACACTATTTTAAGGTTGTGCTAAAGCGGTTCCCATAATGTGAAAACAT